AAAAAGGTAAAAGCTGGTCTAATTTTATGTTAATTTAAATAGGTATTACACAGTAAATAAATTTAAAAGTGGTGAATTGTTTAAATCTAATTGGTCGTTCAATAAACAGTCTAAAGTTTTAAGTTTGTTTATTTCTAAAGATTCTAGAAGATTTAATTTTATCCCTTTGTTTTCATCCAACACAAATTAGCTGCTTTTAACAGTATGATACACCGATTAATAACACTTCCTATAAATAGTATTAATTTCCAAAAAGAATTAAACCTAATTAAACAAATTGCTATCAATAATGGCTATTCTTCTAAATTAATAGATGATATTTTAAACAAAAAACTATACAAAAATGCCATTAATTTAGTATACCCTAAAAAATTACAAAATAATAATAATTTCAAAAGTATTACTTTCCAAGGACAAGCTAGTAAGAAAATTAGCAAATTTCTTAACAAAAACAATATAAATGTTGCTTTCAAAACTAACAATACAATAGGCTTTCACTTGAAAAATAATAAATCTAAAACTAAAATTTGTGATAAATCTGGCGTTTATAAATTATCTTGTAAAGATTGTCCAAAAGTATATATAGGACAAACAGGTAGAAATTTTGGTACTAGAATTAAAGAACATTACAATAGTTTCAATAAAAAGAAAACAGATTCAAATTATGCTAATCACCTGATAGAATCAAATCATAATTTTAATAATGAATTTCAAATACTAAATAATGAAAACAAAGGGATAAAATTAAATCTTCTAGAATCTTTAGAAATAAACAAACTTAAAACTTTAGACTGTTTATTGAACGACCAATTAGATTTAAACAATTCACCACTTTTAAATTTATTTACTGTGTAATACCTATTTAAATTAACATAAAATTAGACCAGCTTTTACCTTTTTTATATTTGTCAATTTCACTTTTATGTCTACATTTTATTTTTCTAAAATCTTTCTGATGAAGCTAAAGTTTAGCGAAACATGTTAAAAGTTTAACAAAAAATTGTGGAAATATATAAGTATTAAAATTTACTTAAAAAATCTTTTATTAAAATTACAAAACTTGGGGAGAATTTAAAAATAACGAAGTTTTTTAAAAAATTAGGAGAATTAAAAATAAGTACAAAAAATTACGGGAATTACGAAAAAATTATGATTTTTGAAGTTATGGGAAAATTACGAAAAAGTTATGGGGGAATTACGAAAATTATGAGTTTTTCGAAAATGCAATAACTAAGGAAAAATTGACTTTTTTAAGCAAAATTCATTTTCTTACATTTTATTTTTTTTCTAGAAAACTGGCAAAAGGATAATTGTGGAAATTTTTCAGAAACAAGAGGAAAGTGAGGATCTCATTGAAACAAAATTTCAAAATTTTCCAGTAAAAAATCACTTCAGGAAAAATTCTGGAAAATTGACTTATTTAAGCAAAATTAAGGAAAATTCATCCTCTCACATTTCAATTTATTTCTGGAAAACTAATAAAGCAAAAGTTGTGAAATTTTTCCAAGAGAAAGAAGAAAATAAGGAGCTCATTATAGGAAAATTTCGAAATTTTCCAGTGAGAAATCACTTGGAAAATCGACTTTTTCAAGTAAAATTACGGAAAATTCATCCTCTCACAAACTAGCAGAAGAAAAATTTTGAAATTTTTACAGGAGAAAGAGGAAAGTGAGAAGTTCATTATATGTATATATGTATAAAAATTTCAAAATTTTCCAGTAAAAAATCACTCCAGAAGAAATTCTGGAAAACTAACTTTTAACCAAAATTCATTTTTTTAATTTTAAATTTTTTCTGGAAAACTGGCAGAAGGAAAATTTCAAAAATTTACAGTGAAAAATCACTCTAGGAGAAATTTTATTTATATATTTTCGGGTAACTGAATAAATTCTCTTCTAAGTTAAAAAATGTATTACAAAACAATAATTCCGAAGGTGCTCCATGAATTAATCTATGACATAACTTTTTCTCTAAGTTATGACGTCATCGATGACGTAAGTAAAAACTTGCGTGCCGTGAAACAAACTATTTGTTTGTTTGAAATTTCAGACATAAAAAAATCAATTTTTTTTAAAAAAAGGCAAATGATGACGTAAGTACAAACCCTCGTGAAACCAACTTTTCACGCGTCCCATTTTCTTTCCATCAAACTCCAAAAAAAAAAAAAAAAAAAAAACAAAAAATGGTGCCTCAAATTTGGAGCCTAGTTGCGCTTATGCTACTCGCTTTGGCCAATTTTGCGCACGTTTCTGGGGAAAGTTATTAAGGCATTAAAAATTTGCCCTTCCCCCCCCGTTTGTCGAAAAATTAAAAGATCCTATGCTTGTCTCCCCACTCTCCCCCCCCTCGTTTTTCAAAAAGTTGAAAAATCCTTATGCCACTAGGTTCACCTAATTTTGCACAACTTTGCACACCTATTTTCAAATTTTGCAAAATGTGCACTTTTCCGCCGGTTTTTTGAGAAAATTAAAAATTTTTATGTTACTCAATTCGGGTTGAAAATAAACGTACAAAATTGAGTGAACCTAGTAGCAAGGGTTTTTCAATTTTTTGACAAACAGGGGAAAACGTGCAAATTAATACAACATTCAACTCCCAGAGGAATGTGTAAAATTAAAAATAAGGTGTGCAAAATTAGCCGAAGCGAGTAGCATAAGAATTTTTCAAGTTTCAGATAAACGGGGAAAAAAGTGCATATTTATCACACCTCATAACTTTTCCCAGAAGAGTGTGCAAAATTTGAAAATAGGTGTGCAAAATTGTCCAAAATTAAATGAAACGAGTAGCATAGGGGTCTATCAATTTTTTTAAAAACGGGTGGGGTTATGCAAATTTTTGATACGATATAACTTTCCCTAGAAAGGTGTGCAAATTTTGAAAATCGGTGTGCAAAATTATGGGTTATTTATTTTTGAAATTTGTCTATTTGTCGAAAAAAGCAAATTTTCAAAGACGGGGGTAGTCCTGACAACCTGTTCACCTCTCGACCTGTCATATTTTGACAGCTGTCAAAAATTACATTTGATAGCTGTTGAGTATTCCAAATTGTATTATCATCCGAACTTAAACTGTATGCAAAATTTCAGCAAAATCTATTGCGAAGAAATGGTTCACAAATCTGCATCTGTTACATTTGACAGTTAACACCTGTCATCAGTGGTCTAAAATGTATTATCATCCGAACTTAAAGTGTATGCAAAATTTCAGCAAAATCCGTTGCGAAATAATAGTTCAAAAATCTGCACCTGTCACATTTGACACCTGTCATTAGTGATCTAAAATGTATTATCATCTAATCACCTGAACTTGAAGTGTATGCTAAATTTCAGCAAAATCCGTTGTGAAGATATGGTTCAATCTGCAACTGTCTCAATTTGACAGTTGACACCTGTCATTAGCGGTCTAAAACATTCTTATTATTATTGCCTTTCATATTAAACATTAAACTGGTTTGAGGCACATCGATCGGATAGTTTCAAAGTCTATAACGGACATAGGTAGACACACAGACAGACAGACAGACAGAAACAATTTTTGTGTTTTATTCCTCTATTTATTAGTAACAGAAAATTACTACCCACAAAAATACATAACTATTTACCTATTTATTATTTTTTTTAAATTATAAAATATTCCTATTCTATGGTAGGTATATGTATAATAAGTAGGTACCTATATAAAACACAGGCATTTAATTTGTTATACAAAAGACAACTTGGCAACGCAGCCTAGCAAATACGCGTGCATTTAGTGCCTCAAATTAATTTAATCGCAGAAACGACTGATTTTACTAGGACACCAACGCCATCACGCAGGTTTATATTTTCGCCGCCGGACGGTTCTTCTAGAGACGTTAGTCTATAATATTCTTTGTTTATACCTACATTAAATTTTCAATAACTTGTTTGTATACCAATTCTATAGCTATATTACATATTCTGCTTGGCAATATTATAGTTTCTTTTATATTTTCCCAGTGAATAAAATATGATCCTAACGCAGATCAATTAATATTTTCTCATAAAAAACAAAAATTGTTGATTCCAAAAAAATCAAAACCAATTTTAGGCAGTATTCTGAAATAAGAAATACCCTGTTGAAAGATGGGAATGTTATCCGAACCAAACTCTTGAGAAAAAGGGTAAAAACCTCACTTCTGTTGAGTTTTCTGATATTTTCAACCGTTCATCCCTATCGATTGCAAAACCCATCCAAGGGATGATTCTAGCTAGAACACTTTTACTAATACCTGCTAAATGATGGTGGTGGTACTGTTCCAACCAAAATCGCCAGAAAAGAGAAAAAACCTGGCTTTTATCGAGTTTTTTGATATACCCAACCTTGGATTTACTGCTGATCTCAAAACCAATTCGCGACAGAATCTAGAACACCCACTCCAAGTCCCTATTGAAAGATGGTTGGAAACGAAGGAAAAACCTATCCAAAATTTTGTGGAAAAGGATAAAAATCTAAGTTATTTTTAATTTTCCGATAATCTCAACGTTTCATTTCATACCGATTGCGAAACTAATTTGAGGGATTGTTATAGAACTAGAACACTTTCTTAAGTTCCTGCCAAAGTATGGTAGTGGTACTCCAACTCCATTCAAAATCTCTGGAAGTATAAAACCTCTACTTTTTTTATATTTTTAACTCTGATCCTATACCGATCTCGAAACCCGAGTAATGTAGGAGTATGTGTCAAATTTAGATTATACGCCCTTTTATTAATTATATAAGCACTTTCTGCTAACAGAATCATAAATTTGCAACTCGGTCTGAAATCTCTTTTTATCAATGGCCCTAAAAAATTAATTTTTCGACTTCATGGAGTCGAGTGAAATCAATTACCTAAATATAATTTGTTTTCTATTCTATTTCACTTCAAGGACATGTAACTTTATGTGATTAACTAAAGGCTTAATCATATTTATTCTCATTATCCATATTTATAAATACTAGATGACTAGGTACCTAGTTCAAATGAGAAGAAAGATAAATGCACAAATAAAATCTTTATTTTTTAATGGCTAAAGTAGAATATAACAAAGAAACACAGATATTCTTAGGTAAATACAGTAGGGCAGCTATTAGTCAAAACAAAGAATGTGCCAGTCATTTATATTGGAATTTTTCTTTAAATTAAGTTGTGTGATATTACATTACCTGTTCCTTTGTCGTTAGAAAACTTGGTAAGATCTTGCAAATAATTTCAAGAAAAATCTATTCGCCAGTCGCTTTTTTGTGAGCTTTTAAATCAGCATTAAACTATGTTAAAAAAAGCACCACTTTTATTTCGTTAAGCTGTTCAAGCGCTTAGCAGTGTGAGAAGAAATAAAATAGAATTCAATTAAGATGCTGATCTCATAAATGGAGGTGCCAGTGGGTACTAAGTATATCAGAAGAAGTACATAAAACAAGTGAACAAATGCGAGGCATAGTTGTTTCTATATAAACGCTCTTAATAACACAAGAACATAAACAATCCCTTTTGGAGCATCTGTAACTCAATTTAACAGAAAATAAGTAGATAATTGACTAGCAAGTAAGATATTGAAAAATGTCACTTGCTCCCCTACTGATACATACCACTTGGATGACAAATAATTGAGTTAATTAAACGTAAATGAGCTCATTGAACATAGTAAACATTAAATTTTAAGTTTATTGGACAGCAAATTCCATCAGACATCCACTAAACAAAAATATAATAAAATTTTGATTAGGCCCAGTCACACTAGATTTAAGAGCTTAAATAAAAATCTCATTTATTTTGAAAAAGGATAAAATGCCCTATCGCAGGGCAGGCAGTGGGTATAAAACTAATAGGGTTGGTGGAAAATTTAGATTCCAATAACTCCATTTTCTAGTCAATGAATTTTTTTTCACATTATTACATCACTGATTTGTTTATTAGAAAACTAAAATTGAAATTAAAAATAAACGCTATAAGAACAATAACAAGATTAATTACTCAAGCTATTTGGTCAACACACATTCAAAAAAAATCAGGTTAGAGGTCAACCAACCTTGAATCAACAATTTGGGATAAAACCATTATTGTTTCAAAACAATCAGTTCCTGTAACATGCATTATTTTCAAAAACAGGACGCGACTTCTTCCACTTAGATACATAATAGTACAACTATTTATACACAATCATACAAAATGCACACAATTAGCCTTAAAAGTTAACAATATTTTTTAATAAAACTAAAAAATATATTAAAACATCCAAAAAATTAGAATTTTTGTCTTGAAAAAATCACTTATAAAAACTTGAGTTAGCCTGTTATTAGAAAAGGTCTTCATCTTTAAGGGCGGGCGTTTTGGCCACTTCGAAGAAAATTTTGTGAGAGTATTTGTTCCTGACAGTCATTAATTGAGGTTTTGCCGGCTTGCTGATCAATCTGTTAAGCAGGACAACTATGTTTTTGAAATCATTGATCTTATAGCCTGAAAAATAAAGTACATATTGTTTTATCAAATTGATCATGATAAAAATTAAAACTTACTAGTATAAAATTCCAAAGTAGACGTCCAGCCACTGAATTTTCTCATCTTTAAGGCCAGATACAAGGAAGCTGAAGCCAAAAGTGAATCCTTAATGGAAATGGTTTCATATTCCATCAGGGAAAATTCTAGAATGTACCTGGCTAGAGTGAGCACAGGCATTGAAATTTTTCCACACTAGAAAAAGAAGCACTAGTTTAAATTTTGCAGATTTAAGGAAAAAGACCTTACCCTAGCATATCGCCTCAAAAATCTATAACTGATAGGAATGCCCAAATTGAAATTTACGACTTTCAACAAATTAATTTCCATCCTGATCATGTCTCTTCTGGTATAGGCACCATCGCAAATATACAAAAAATCGTCAATTAATGGCGGGATTCTCTCATCAAATTTACTTGCTACAAACATGGCAGCAGCTCCAACCAACTGGAGCATTTCTTTTGAAACCGTTACACGATCCAAGTACAAATCGACTAGCTAAAATAAATAGTTTTACTTACTTAGGATTGTTATATTTATATATGAGTGTGTGAAATTATTACCTTAACTCCTAAATATAAAGTTTCATGATTAAGCTCGAAACTTTCTTGAATTTCTACCATCCAATCAATCAGAAGGGACCTCATCCATTTGGAAAGGCACACTTGCCTATCCATATAATCTCCAACAGGAAATTGAGTCTCTTTCTCTTTATAATAATTAAAAATATCCATAGCATAATGGGACACCTGGTGAACATCGTCCCAATTCTCCTTGTCATAATCTGCTACTCCCGGGGGCACATCGTGATTGCCCAAATTCAATTTGGTCTGCAACTGTTGGGCCACAAAAGACAAACTACTCGTTTTCTCTTCTTCGTCAGATAAGATCGTGATGGTGTTATCGGCTGGACTCTTTGACGATCTAGTTGTGGGCTTTGTTTTTGCACTGAAGTATGTAGAATCGTTACTAAAACCCATACGAGGGATGTGATGTATAGGAAATTGTTAGGTTTTGTTAAAAGATTATGAATGTCGAAATGAGCTACAGTGAAAAATATTGTTTTTCTACGAGCGTGGATTTTTTATTACTTTCCCGCACGCATCTTAGTTCCGAAAATGTCACTTTCCCGCACTAGTGCGCGATTTTGTTTTTCCCGCACTAGTGCGGACAAATTCTATTCCCGCACTAGTGCGGGAAAGTGGCGTTCAGAAGAAGTGTCAGTTTTGTCAATTAATCAAACATTTTATCTATTTTGTCTGCCTACATTTTTGCTAGATTTACTATTAGGCGCTCATAAAATATTTTTAATATTCCTATTTTCTATTTTAATCCATATTATTCTAATTTGTGAATATTTCAAAAATGTTATAATTTTTTTTGACATTGTTTGACTTTTTGGTTCCTTTGAGGCGGGGCAGTTCTTTTACCTTAGAAATTTTGTTTATTGTAACATCAAATCGATTTAATACATAAGTAATTTTTTTCAATCATTCTTGAAAGTAAACGTAAAAATATAAAAATAAGTAATTTTGTAATTAAATTTCTTTAATAATATATCGCTTTGAATTTACTTAGTTTTTGTTTTTATGTTTGAACGCGCTCGTAGAAAAAATAATGTTCCTAACTCATGCGGAAAGTGTCTTTCCCGCACTCAACTGCTTGCCCGAACTCCGCTTCGCGTCGTTCGGGTCATAGTCCAAGAAACGGGGATCTGAAGAGAGGGTTTACCTCAACATAATTAGAAGTTGAAATTTTTTTGGGGGGATCGGTCCATTTTAATATGCTAAACAACATATTAAGTTTGCGACCTTGTACTTCCATAGGGTTTTCAGTTAGGGGTGGTTTTTAGGGGTAATTTACGGTTTATGGAGAACTCTGCTCAAAGGGATGGTTCAATAGCAAAAAGTTTCAAATGAATGTTGTAGCTGAAGTATTTTTCTATAAAAAACTCAGGGACAGCACCCCTTTATCTTCTATAGTTTTTTTTCTGCAGCGTCTTGAATAGTAGCATGTTTTTGTTCAAGGTTACTGAATCAACGTTTTGCCATTTTGCGCGCATTTGTTGCAGCAGCGGCCGAATGCATAATCCGATTTCAATATTTCAAACACCACATTATTGCTAATGAAATGCACTCTCCAATGCTTGTTTGTTCGAATTTTTTGCTTGAAAATTAAGCGAGCACGGACTTGTCTAATGTGCGAGGAAGTTGTAAAATGCATCGAAAACTACCCCTTTCTTGCATTCACTGTAATTTCTAAACCGGGCCAAATATTTGGTGACAGTTTTCAACAATCGGCAGCCCATTTATTCCTCTCATAATGCCCCAGCGGATTTTTTTTTCGTTAATTACCTAATGACTTATTGGCCTGAAAACGTCGCGCGGGATTTTTCAAAAAGTAAAAAAAAATTAAAATTGTCGCATAGCGCTGAAATTTGGTACGATGGCCTTATTTATTGTTCTTACGAATATACTGCAATTTTAATTGCTTCACGTGATATAAAATTGCAGTATATTCATGAGAACAATAAATAAAGCCATCGTACCAAATTTCAGCGCCATGCGACAATTTTATTTTTTTTTTTACTTTTTGAAAAATCCCGCGCGAAGTTTTCAGGCCAATAAGTAATTAACGAAAAAAAAATCCGCTGGGGCATTATGAGAGGAATAAATGGGCTGCCGATTGTCGAAAACTGTCACCAAATATTTGGCCCCGTTTAGAAATTACAGTGAATGCAAGAAAGGGGTAGTTTTCGATGCAATTTACAACTTCCTCGCACATTAGACAAGTCCGTGCTCGCTTAATTTTCAAGCAAAAAATTCGAACAAAAAAGCATTGGAGAGTGCATTTCATTAGCAATAATGTGGTGTTTGAAAAATTGAAATCGGATTATGCATTCGGCCGCTGCTGCAACAAATGCGCGCAAAATGGCAAAACGTTGATTCAGTAACCTTGAACAAAAACATGCTACTATTCAAGACGCTGCAGAAAAAAAACTATAGAAGATAAAGGGGTGCTGTCGCTGAGTTTTTTATAGCAAAAAACTTCAGCTACAACATTCATTTGAAACTTTTTGCTATTGGACCATCCCTTTGATCAGCGTTCTCCATAAACCGCAAATTACCCCTAAAAACCACCCCTAACTAAAAACCCTATGGAAGTACAAGGTCGCAAACTTAATATGTTATTAAGCACATGAAAATGAACCGATCCCCCCCAAAAAATGTTAACTTCTAATTATGTTGAGGTAAACTTCCTTCATTGCTTGGCCTATCAACGGCAGTCGTGTGCGGGAAAGTATCACTTTCCGCACTTGTTAGGAAAATAACTATTGAAAGTTTCAACAAGAAAAAAAAACTGAACTGCAATCAAATGGAACACCCTACATATTTTCGGCTAGAATGATAGCTTTTTTTCTTCTGATTCCAAATATACCATATACAGTGTGTCCACTTAAGTTCGCAGCATATGGCAAACTTTTTTATTATCAATTTTACGAAAAAAAGTTATTCTTTATAAAAGTTTCTGCTTCTTGAAAAAAATAGTATTAAACTATTAAAACTTGAAATAGCACGTACAGGGTGTCAAAAAATAGAAAAATATACAGCGATTTTTGGTAAAAGTAGAAAAAAAATGACATGTCACTATTGTTTAAAACCTTTGATATTTTTTTAAGATTAAACAAGTCATATTACAGTCAAAAGATACCTTTCGTTATCACAAACAAACCTGCCAAATTTGAAAAAAAAAATTGGAAAAGGGATTTTTGAGCTAAAAAAACAATTTTTGCTAAAACTCTGACACCGTGTATCTCAGCAACTACGCATTTCCGGACACATGTTTATGGGAACTTTTTTTCTTAAAATATTGTAAGGAATCACATCCTGAAGCTACGAACCGTACTTAGGAAACACCCTGTATATTTTTCTATTTTTTGACCACCCTGTACATTCTCTTCTCTGTCTCTCTCTAACACATTTAGTTCTTATGGAAAGTGCCAATAATATAAATTTTTCGAATAAATGCGATGCGTCATAGGTTTTGGGACATCAGAAGCTCTTAAAATCTGATATCAAAAATAGGGGCCCATATTGAGAAAAATAAAGTTCATGATGGTGGCCCAAAGACGAAACGTCAAATTTTAAATTTGATGGTAGCATCTTATAGGGGAGAAAAAGTGGCAATGACGAAATGATATTTTTTTTGAAATATCACTTCAAATAAAGTCAAGAAAAAATAAAAACCATTTTACAAAATTTCGGTTTTCTTCGAATATCTTCGGAAGTATTCGGAATTTTTCAGATTTCAGAACGGCATTTAATTGGTCATAAAATTGCGCAACTTTGCCATAATTTAACCGACCTCGTATCTCTTATAGTTCCCGATATCTCAATGGTCACCCTCAAATTTGGGACACCCTGTACAGGGTGGGCCAATTTGGACACTTCCTTATGGAAACACCCTTTATTTTTAGAGATAGAAAAAAATGAACCCCCCACTCTGAGGCTCAAATTTCATGAAATTTTGATTGGTGCAAACTGCTTTTTGATATCTTCAACCGTTTAGCCGCTAGAGGGCGATTCTCGATTTTGAGCAATATTGTGAAGCCTTCATAACTTTTTTGTTTATGAAAATAATTGATTTCCGTGAAAACTTTCTGGAAGCACTTTTTAAAACAGAATTCAGGGACGTTCTCGGTTTTTTTCTATTTGGCGCCAATTTTGAGATATTGACCAAAGTCTGATTTTTTTCAATGGGACACCCTTTATAATAATAGCTCATTGCAAAGCTATGATTTTTCTGATTTTAATGATATAAAGTTCGATAGGGGTATCTCTAAGCGTTTTCGAGAAAAAGAAGCAATGTGTTAGAAAAGGACTTTATATCTGTAAGGAAAATGAAAAAGGTCTCTTTCTAATACATTGTTTCTTATGACAAAAACCAAAATAATTTTTTTTCTCGAAAACGGTTAGAGATAAACCTATCGAACTTTATATCATTAAAATCAGAAAAATCATAGCTCTTCAATGAGCTATTAATATAATGGGTGTCCCATTGAAAAAAATCAGACTTTAGTCAATATCTCAAAATCGGCGCCAAATAGAAAAAGACTGAGAACGTCCCTGAATTCTATTTTAAAAAGTGCTTCCAGAAAGTTTTTACGGAAATCAATTATTTTCATAAACAAAAAAGTTATGAAGGGTTCACAATATTGCTCAAAATCGAGAATCGCCCTCTAGCGGCTGAACGATTGAAGATATCAAAAAGCGGTTTGCACCAATCAAAATTTTATGAAATTTGAGCCTCAGAGTGGGGGGTTCATTTTTTTCTATCTCTAAAAATAAAGGGTGTTTCCATAAGGAAGTGTCCAAATTGGCCCACCCTGTACATGCTAGTTCAAGTTTTAATAGTTTAATATTATTTTTTCAAGAAGCAGAAACTTATAAAGCCTAACTTTTTTTCGTAAAATTGATAATAAAAAAGTTTCCCATAGTGAACTTAAGTGGACCCACTGTACAGGGTGATCCAGTATAAAGTGAACACCCCCTACCTTTTCGCTAAAAATTTTTTTTTTTGAAACAACCAAGATAGCCATTGGTTGTATTTTTTTTCTAGGAATTTGAAAACGTTTTTGGAAATTTAATTAGATTTTTCGTTGAAGCGCTGTGATCAAAAAAGTAATTTTTTTTTAATGGAATAACCTATATTTGAATCCATTTTTTGAACGACCCTATTTTCCTCTTTTCAAATATTTATAGTTTGTTTATCTTTATCTTAGTAATTTGCGATATATTCTCAATCAAGATTCAAATAAAAATAGCCGAAAAGGTATCAAGGTAAATCTAAATAATTTTACCTTTAATAAAACTACTGGTTATTATGTTTATTATACCTTTTCGGCTATTTTTATGTGAATTATAAAGTGAGAATATATGGCAAATTACTAAAAAAAGATAAACAAACTATATATTTGAAATGAGAAAAATAGGGGCGTTTAAATGATTTAAATATAGGTTATTCCATTTAAAAAAATTACTTTTTTGGTCACAACGCTTCAACGAAAAATCTTGATAAATTTCGAAAAATATTTTCGAATTCCTAGAAAAAAGATACACCAAATGGCTATCTTGATTTTTTCAAAAATAATTTTTTTACCGAAAAGGTAGGGGGTGTTCACTTTATACTGGATCACCCATTTGGTTCAGTTGTTTTTATGCTATTTAATTTTAAAATTGCATTGAGCAAGTCCCATCATTGATATAAGAAATCAGGACAAATTAAATTAAGGGTTATGTAAATGCATTTTTAAACTTGAATAGTGTGAAAACAGCTGAACTAAATATTAACACATATGGTATATTTGGAATCAGAAGAAAAAAAAAATCTATCATTCTAGCCAAAAATATACAGGGTGTTGCATTTGAAAAATGCAAGTGTTTGTCATTGTGACAGTTGGCACCTGTCATTTGCCCATTTTGACATTTGCAAAAGATACCTAATAGACATAAAACCCTACAACTTTCATATTTAAAGTTTTTTTCCACCTCTTATAGCTGAAGCTGTAGGTAGGGGTAAAAATATAAGGAAACACCCTGTACAGAGGAAGCTTTTTGAAAAAATGGTTGAAAGCTTCAAATATCCACCAAAACACAAGATGCAAATTCCTTGAAGATGTTATAATGAAAAAAAATTATACATCAGGAGCAGGAGCTACCGAAGAAGCTTCCAAAAAGAAGCGGGAGGGAATGCTTCAATTGGAATGCCTCAAAAAAAAAACAGAGAGAAAACAGTTATTTTCTGGATTTTATTATTACTAAAACGAGGCCAAGAATGCAGGAAAAACTTCCTAAACAAAATTCTGGAAAGCCTCAAAGGAACACAATAAATAATTAGTTATTTACCTAACAAGTGCGGAAGGTTATACTTTTCCGCACGCAGACATAAGTGCGGAATCTTTACGCTCGTGTTAGGTGAAATATTTTTCCTACGAGCGTGCGGAAATTAACATATTGTTGTTTTGTTTGTTTTTGGCTCTAAGTACTGATAAAAGAAATGTTCAAAAATGTGATTTTTTAATGAAGTTTAATAACGCAATAATTTTACATACCAACAGAACATTATCAATTATTTTTATTATAAGTAGAATTAACTCGAGAATTAATTATTATTTATGGTATACAACTCATTAAAAAGGTCGATATTGGTCAGAACAAAAACCCGATAGCTTCCTTGAAGAGAAAAAACGCTGGAGCAATTTCGAAAACGTCTTAAAGTTTTTGAATAGCATGACATAGAGAAAAATTGAAGAAAAAAAAAATCAGTGCGCGAAAAACTTTTCTCGAGCACAGCGTGAGTGAAAAACTTTTTTCGCGCACGTCGTGCGGTAAAAAAAAAGTGGTACTTTGCGCACGCAAATCAGTGCGAGAAAACGCGTTTTCCGCACGCTCGTAGGAAATAGTTAGGAACATTATTTTTTCTACGAGCGAGTTCAAATATAAAAACAAAAACTAAGTAAATTCAAAGCAATATATTATTAAAGAAATTTAATTACAAAATTACTTATTTTTATATTTTTACGTTTACTTTCAAGAATGACTAAAAAAAATTATGTATTAAATCGATTTGATGTTACAATAAACAAAATTTCTAAGGTAAAAGAACTGCCCCGCCTCAAAGGAACCAAAAAGTCAAACAATGTCAAAAATAGTATATTACATACCGAGTAGGGAAGTGTTTCATTACTGTCGAGAGATTAATATAGTCAATCGAGACGCGAAGCGTCGAGATTGACTAATAATCTCGAGACAGAAATGAAAACTTCCCTCCGAGGTTTGTATTAGTATATTACATACCGAGGTGGGAAGTGTTTCATTACTGTCGAGAGATTAGTTAGTTAACTGAGACGCGAAGCGTCGAAGTTAACTATAATCTCGAGATAAAATGTTTGATTAATTAACAAAACTGACACTTCTTCTGGACGCCACTTTCCCGCACTAATGCGGGAATAGAATTTTCCCGCACTAGTGCGGGAAAAACAAAATCGCGCACTAGTGCGGGAAAGTGACATTTTCGGAACTAAGATGCGTGCGGGAAAGTAATAAAAAATGCACGCTCGTAGAAAAAATAATTTACACACCCCCTCAAGATTTAATAATATTACTTGAAAAAAAAGTACCATAGGTGCGCAAAATAAGACAGTCAAAAAAACATTACTGGAAAATGAAAATTCTTGAAGGACATACAACTAAAAAGTCTTTTGGTGGCTCTCTTTATTCTTGACATTAAATTAGTAAAAACTTTGCGAATAAGCTTAACTAACCATATTCCTGCTTACCTTTCTTCCAACGCGGATGCATACAATGATTCCTCACTTTTCTCAAATTCGTTGCTAAGTCTCTTTTTGGTGTTTGCTCCTAAGCCAGTATTTTCTTTAGGTTTCACAGCAGTTTGGTTTGGACAGTGTGGCACTTGTTTGTTGTGCACTGAAGCTCTGGTCGTTATTTTATTGAGCACAGGCGCTTGAGGTGGTGCCAGATTCTCATTATTTTGTTTGGGTTTTTGCACTGTTTTAACTGAGGTAATTTTGATCGATGGCAATACTTTTGCTTGCACTGTTATTTTTTTCACATTTTTCACGTTATTTGTCAGATCTCCCAAAGCGCTTCTTTTCAAAGCTTTGTCCTTCGATGGGGAACAATCAGCCTTTCGTTTACCTCTAATTATTTTGTTAAGTTTATCAATGCCTTTGGTAATGTGGGGGGCATTTTCATTGTGTGTCATTAGGGCTCTGCTTCTCGTTGATATTGCCGTTGGTTTTGTTTGGGAGATTTTTGTTGGGGCCATTTTTTTCTGGCTCCCTTTGATGGTTGTACTATTAGATTAATCCTTTGGCTAGTCGATAAAAAATTCTGAAAGAAATAATAACCAATTTCAAAGAGAAGCATTGTTGCTAAATAATTTGGGCAATTCTTGTTTTTGGAATAAACCATTGAAACAGTAAAACACTTTTAAGCTAACCAACTTTCTCATGAAACACGATACTTTCTCAAAAAGTCAATTTGCTTTTAGGGAAGGGATTATTACAGAAGATGCTCTGTGCAAAGTTACAGAACAAGCTCTGGGCCAGCTCGACGGGGGCAAGAAGGTTATTGGGATATTTCTGGATTTAGCCTGGACGTTTGATACTGTGGCCAGTCCTACTTTAGATACTTAATAACATTGGTGTTCGAGGTATAGCAAATGACTTATTAAAATCGTATCTAATAGGGAGAACACAGCGAGTGAAAATTGGTGAAAAGGGCACTGTTCTTGGCCCATTTCTCTTTAGAGTTTATATAAATGAAATATTATCAGTGTGATGGGGGCCGTGTTTTCTGCTTTGCAGATGACACTGCCGTCATAGTGGGTGGTGATAACTCGGAATAAGTATGGAAAAAAGCAGAAAATTCTATTAAGAAATTGAAAAACTGGTTAAACCATAGCTTATTGTAGATAAAATGAAATTTATTGCCTTCGGACTGACCCACAGGAATTTACCCAGTTCCCAGCATCTAAAAATTCATGACCCGGGTTGTAAAGTGGGACAATGTAATTGTAGATGTTGGATTGAACTTAAAGCATTTGTGAGGTATTTAGGGGTTTTCATTGATGAAAATATAAACTGGAACTGGTTGAATATGTTACAAATAAGATAAGAAAACTGATTTATAAATTTTATGAATTAGGAAACATACTACAAACTAAAATTCTTAGATATTCTTTCACTTGTCGAGTCCGTTCTTAATTATGGGTTGGTTGTATGGAGAAGTGCTAGTAAAACAACACGAGAGCCACTGTTCATTATCCAAAAATCTATAATTAAAATATTGTTGTTTAAAAATAAACAATACTCTACAGATTTATTGTTTAATGAGAGTAAACTTCTGTCACTGGAACAGCTATACAGGGTGACAATTTGAAAACGAGGAATCAGGAATATCTCTTGTCTAAGACAAAAAATACTATCAAGAAGATCTCAAATACGTATCGGGGGATTGGAGGAGGAACCAAAATGAGACACTTTTTGAATCACCCCGCCTCACCCCTTAGGGGGTAGCTACCCTAACTTACTTTTTTTTAATACGAACCTACCTTGTGATGCACATCCTTCGATAGCTCGTTGCTATCCCTTTACAGTCATATAGCAAAATCTTAAATTGGATGATTGGTTTTTGAGATATCGGTGTTTGAAAGTGAGCATATTTTGAAAACTAGTAATCTTGAATTTCTATTAGGCAAATAATTTTGTCATAAAAGTCTAAAATACACATCAGGGAACCAAATTGGTTTATTGCCTAACCCCCACCCGTCTTGTTTTGGGGGCTAGCCGCTCCTAATAACTTTTCTATAATGAGAACCTACCCCATGTGATAGCTTCTTTGACAGGTTTTTTATTCGTCTTTAGAGACGTGCAGAAGCAGATAGAATTACGATAATCGCATTATTTGGTTTCGCCGATGTGTATTCAAGCCTTTTATGGCATAATTATCATGGCAACATGGCCGGCGATGATAAGTCAAATAATCCAAGCACTGGAAATTGTAAATATTGTAAAAAACAGCTCCGTTAAGCTGGCCCCCCCCGAATTGATTTTCCTTACCAAAATGCTGGCACAGGTAAAACATAGCTAGCACAACCTAGCACACCAATTTTTAACGCTAGCTATCATGGCAACATGGCCGGCGATGATAAGTCAAATAATCCAAGCACTGGAAATTGTAAATATTGTAAAAAACAGCTCCGTTAAGCTGGCCCCCCCCGAATTGATTTTCCTTACCAAAATGCTGGCACAGGTAAAACATAGCTAGCACAACCTAGCACACCAATTTTTAACGCTAGCACACCCATAGTATAGCAAAAAATTGATTTCGAATTCGGGGGGGGCCAGGTTAACGCTAGCCCCCCCGGTTGGATTTACTCAGCCAAAATGCTAGCACAGGTGCAAGATACCTAGCACAACCTAGCACACCATTTTTTAAAGCTAGCACACCCATAGTTTAGCAAAAAATTGATTCCGAATTCGGGGGGGGCCAGGTTAACGCTAGCCCCCCCCGGTTGGATTTACTCAGCCAAAATGCTAGCATAGGTGCAAGATACCTAGCACAACCTAGCACACCATTTTTTAGAGCTAGCATACTCATAGTTTGGCAAAAAATTGCTTTCGAATTCGGAGGGCGTGGTTAAGGCTAGCCCCTCCCCGTTCGATTGGATTTTCTTCGTCAAAATGCTGGCACACATTTAACACACCTGGCACATAAAGAGATTTGCTGGTCCTAGTCTACCTTACTGAGCTACTTTTTTGTTTTTGAAAATTTGCAGTGAAAAGTGAATTTTTTTTTGAGGTAGGTACCTACAAGCTGAAATATTGATACCTTCAAGGGCGTCAAAACTCAGGCAGAAGTAGCAAAATTTTGGAAAGACCTTTCTGGTTTCATTGTTTTAGCAGATTAACGTGAAGTAGATAATCAGTTTCAAACCTTGACGCTTTGTCCCCGAATTAAATACATACTTTGATGATTTTTTAAGGTAAATACTAACCCGGGTTTTAATTTCGTTAAATGGTTTTGATAGGCGAGTAGATTTATAATGATAATCGAAGTTTTTTAGAAAATTTTTATTCATCATCAAATCAAACAAAACAAAAATAAATTACCACACAAGTAGGTAAGTATTTAATGAAAAAATTCAAAAATGAAACATATTATTGCTTAAAAAAAAAATAAAACAAAGAGCTCAATTTAAAAATATACAGGGTGTCCCAGCTGAGAGTGACCCATTTTAAATGCTTATAACTTTTGAACTAGGTGTGCTAGCTACCTGCGGTTTGTGCCAATCGATTTCTCTTGGCCTAAAGTTTTTTTAGTAGTTTGCTAATTTTTCTGAAACTTATACAGGGCGAGTAAAAAAAAATCCGTCGAAATTCTCCACTATTTCTAATGGAACACCCTGTATATCACAACGTCAAAAAAAAAAAATCATGTTCAAGTTATCCATATACCAGCTCCGTTAAGCTGGCCCCCCCCCGAATTGATTTTCATTACCAAAATGCTGGCACAGGTAAAACATAGCTAGCACAACCTAGCACACCAATTTTTAACGCTAGCACACCCATAGTATAGCAAAAAATTGATTTCGAATTCGGGGGGGGCCAGGTTAACGCTAGCCCCCCCCCAATTGGATTTACTCAGCCAAAATGCTAGCACAGGTGCAAGATACCTAGCACAACCTACCACACCATTATTTTTTAGAGCTAGCACACTCATAGTTTGGCAAAAAATTGCTTTCGAATTCGGAGGGCGTGGTTAAGGCTAGCCCCTCCCCGTTCGATTGGATTTTCTTCGTCAAAATGCTGGCACACATTTAACAAACCTGGCACGTAAAGAGATTTGCTGTTCCTACTCTACGTAGGAATGCAAAGATTGCACTATCGGAATATTCCGGGAATAGCTTCTACATGGGTACAACTCGCCAGTATCCTTGCCTTAGACAAGGAAAGAGAGAGGACGCGTAACATCCTTTAGGGCGAGCATTATAAAACTTCTTTGTGAGTTAACTTAAAGTTAACTTCTGGAATTACATGTAATTCAAAAAGTTAACTTCAAGTTAACTGTCAAAGCAGTTTTATAATACCCGCCCTTACCTGCACTAGCAGCTGGTTGTGACCGTTTGCCACCAAATAATGGCGACAATTTTTCATGGTGTCACTATGTGAATTTTACTTCAGACTAACATTTTTGTGATATTCAGCATGGTGGATTGCTAGCATATGGCTGCAAAACCTGCAGAGAAAAAAAAGTCGACGGGATTATATTTAACAGGCAAAAAACAATATGCTTTCTAGGTTATGTTATGAAAAAAGCAGACATTTTTTGGTGGCAAACTGCTTCATTTTCACCTGCTGTGATACGAGTCCCCTCTCTTTCCTTGCCTAAGATTCTCTTGCTAACTGCTCTTCCTCATTACGAACAGGTGTTTCGTAGACTAAACTTTTCAGTCAATGTCCCGACGGTGCAATCTTTTCATTGAAGTAAATGGTCAACATTTTGAATAATTATTGTAAACCTCAGAGGAAACCATAATTTATTTGTTAATAAAGCAAAATTAATAAGTAGGTAAACAGGGATTTAATTATTGCGAAGAATAAGAGTACCAAACAGTTTTTTTGCTCTGCAGCCCAAATGGATTATTTGCGGACATATGTTTATATAAACAAAAATGCTTGTTTTGATGTTCCTTACTACCCCTCAAAGTTTGTCGGTATCTTTTTGGGACACCCTGATGTATACAAAAATTTCAGGTATTCTACTTTTTCGCCTTGAGTGCGGAAAAGTAATACTTTCATGACCTCAACGTGCGGTAAGGTGCACTTTTCCGCACGCTCGTAGAAAAAAATTATAAAAACAGCTGCGATTAGGGATGCCACCTTTGAAAGTAAGTTGAACCGGAGAAAAAAAAAAACATTATTGAAAGAAAGCTGAAAAAGAAAATCTGCAGCTCTACAATGCAACAGATGCATTACCTACTTTACTATCTGTCTATATGTATATACACAAGTCCCCCCTCCCCAGCAACACCGGATGTTGCTTGGGGAAACTTTGCTTGAGGTTGGGAGTTGAGACGGTTGGAGAAAAAGATTCAAGAATATTACACACTAAACAGAATAGCCTATCTTCATAACGACACTACGACCGCTGACGCAAATAGTTAACGACACTGTTGATGACTTCGATAACGGTGCAACACTATAGTCTTGATTCCAAAAATCGAGTCCAATGAGCGGACGTGTAGTAGTGTTTAATATCCTTGAGGGAGATTATGAGGCTTTGAGGTTCGTGGGCTGTCTATTCTATCGCCAAACTGCATGTCGGAG